GGGGGGGGGGGGGGGGGGGGGGGGGGGGGGGGGGGGTTGTGCATGATGAATTCATCCGGCCTGTGAATACTTAGCAGCGCAGGCATGTGAATACTTAGCCGTCAAGTATGCTCTTTGAAGACATGAAAAGAAATCTGAAATCTGAAAGTTGGAATCCGAAGTATTCTTCAAGAACCGTTTTTTGGCCCGGCGGCCGGTGTGGCAGTTGATTCTGTGAGGGTGTCGGTGCCTTCCTGTGAGAGTCCAGTGAACGGTGGTGCGTTGGGGTGGTTGCTTTCCCATGCAAGATCGGCGCCCCTGTGACGGGGATCACACTCAGCACCCGAGTGGGACGGCTGAGCGGGACACACTTCGACAATTTGTATTCAGTTAGCTCAATTTCCCGATGGGAAGGATGGCGGTGGAACGGCATGGTGATTGGGTCAGATCACTTGAATTGTTTAACATAGTTTCCCTCGCTCTGCTGAACAAACGCTGCACATCTGCGGACGATCGGCGGCTCAGCTGCTGAAAGAAACCTGTTTGGGGGTGGTAGCATGAAGGACCATGAAAGCAAACCGATCAGATTGGACAGCTTGTGCAAAAGTTGGTCGCAGGTACACACAGTTGATCAGACTGTGCATCCACCGACAAGCATAGCTTTGTTAGCCAGCGTTTGCTTGTCGGCCGCTGGCCCCCTGCCCATGTAAAGTGGAAAGAGTGGTGGTGGAAGACCCTTTGTCCAGGGTTGGACACACACACACACACACACACCGAGCGGCGACATTCGATGCTTTTCTCAGCCTCTCCAAGTTCCAACAGAAACACTGATCCAATAAATAGAATAGCTCGCCCAAGTGCTCCACCCCCCGCGCCTCCGTCCAGACGCCCAGCCCTTCACCGTTGCCGAGGCTTAGCCATCGTCCTTTTCACCCCACCGCTGATGAACACGGTCAACCCCTGGATGGAGCGCAGGCGCGTGGCGAGTGGGACCTGTGTAGAATGATATGAATTTTGTCGAGTGGGTTCAGGTTCTTCATGTGTTTGTCCTGGGCAGCTTGGGTGATTTCCTAGGAGTCGGATCGAGTCGGGGAGCAGGTCTCTTGCAACCAGTCCAAACGCCTCTACAATGCTCCTTCAGGAGCCACCAACAATCACCCCAGACCATCAAGCAACAACCTCATAAGCATCAACACTTCTTATCATTCTTATCTACCATGCCCTGAAACATCCTGAAACTACCATACCCATCCGTGGCCCTACCATGCCAAAACGCAACAACACCGAGGTTTGGTGTGGGTCGCCACGGGAAGCTCTTGTTGGGTTGTCTATTGGCGGCAGTCTCAGTACTTTGGGCTGCGCTGCTGGAGGAGTCCGCGTGCACGCGTGGGCCGTACGCGTGGGCCATGGGTGGAGGGGCCGAGAGTGGACTGGGCGCTTCATATCTTGACTGTGAGTGCAAACGTGTGAAAAACGCATTGAAAAGCCATGCACTCAAAACCAGACATGTGGTTGGTACCACGTAGTTCACGGTCGCCTAGGATGATTACAACATCTATCAAGACCGGTGTTGATGTCAAGGTGCGGAACATCTTCAGGATGTCTTCAGGTGCAACATGGTGCGACATGACCTCACCCCCCTCCTGACGCACAAAGAAGCAGAAATGGATAGAAATGGCTGCCTGGAACGCTCACCTGCGACCCTTCGGAATACATCTGGGTCTGGAACGCTCACCCCGGAACCACGCACGGTCAGCCCCCCTCAGGTCCTCAGACGGTACCAGACCGCGTCGCAGGACCTCCGGATCGTTTCACCCTTGCTGGAGGAGGTGAGGTGGCTAGGAGGATTGGTTGGACAGGAGGCTGAAAGGAAGGTCAACATATGTCCAAATGGTCAAAGAAACCTCCTGGAGATATTTGGAGATGCAAGTTGCCCCATATACATTTGGCTGTTCTGTGGGGGCCCCCCTAGGTTTGGTTCACAAGAAGATGCTGCCGATTTCTCTACGGATCCGATTCAACAACTTTTGCCTCCAGCTTCGCAGCTTGCTGTTTTTGCAGGCCTCCCTTTGTGCGCCGGACGGGCAGAAGATGAGCAGCAGCTTGGACCGCATGTTAAGTGGAACCTATCAGAAGCTATAGACATTGCCACGTGAAGGTGGGTGAACAAATCAGAAGCCAAGCCATTGACCATATCTATAGCATTCTTTTCCGGACTGTTGGCACAAAATTTGGTGCCAGCGTTTGCCATATGCATATGCTACAAAGAAAGGGAGGGAGAGATCGAGTCCCGAGTCATCAGGCAGGGTATATACGATATGGCAGTGTAACAAACATCGCGAACATTCCGACAACATGTTATGTTTCTATCATGTTTCTATGTGTCTTCGACGTGGTACTCATTCTTCACATTAAGCCTGCCCCCTCCACAAGTTGGCTAAAAGATTGGTGGGGAGCGGAGTGAAGGGGGACCAACTCCGGGTCGGAACCGTGCATTGACAGTAGAATCAGGCGATCTAGACGTTGTGTGCCAAAACCGCTCTGCGCGTTGGAAGGTGTCAGGATTCGAAATCTGGAGACACCGTGGTCTCCGCTGACTCTCATGGTCTCTTCCTGACATCGGGATGGTCAGGGTGCGCCCGTAACGGACCGTACGGCCATGATCTTGTCCGCCGAATCATCGAATGATCGAGGTTTGTCCGCCTGGTGGATGATTGGACCGTACACAGTGATGGGCGTGGCGGAAGTGTATGTGCACCTGGGCCGCAGGTCAGTGACAGGTGCTAGCCTTGGACCAGCGTCGCCGCTGCCCTGACAGCCGGTGAATATGAACATCATGGCGGGGAGAGGGAGAGGCCACAAAGGGAGAGGCAACCAAGAACTGGCACGTTGTATGTGCAGCTGGGTGAAACAGCATGGGACAACCTGGGTGGTGATTTCAATTATTGTACATGTTTAGTTTACTTGGGATGAATGACTGAACCCACAGGTCCTCATATTTTTCGTTGGTGCGTTGAAAGCACCAAGCAGAAACAACCATGGCCTGAGATCCTGAGAAACCAGAACTTGTCACAGTCGCCAGTCGCTTCCACCACAGTACATGCCACAGTCAACGAGTCACAAGGAGTCGACAAAGCCCAGTTGTGACCCACGAGAGCCCCACCTTCTTTGTGCAACTGGGCTGTTTGTTCAAGAGTTTCCCTCATTAGGACGACTGTTTGTTGAGCTTCTATGCTTGGGTTCGCGAGTGGAGTTGTGAAGTAGCCACGCACGTTCTGGAGCACTTCAAAGGTGGCAGAGATCAAGTGGGTCAATATCAGTTGACATTCTTCCTCCTAGGCGTTCTATGAACAGGCTCTCTCTCTCTCTCTTGAGGGGTGAAGGATGGTGAACGGAAGCTTCGAAAGGAATCCAGGGTCGCTGGAGATTAGCCAATTCTGGAGTTGTTGGTCACTGTCGCAGGAATCCGACGCTCTACTACTTGGCCTATTCACAGTCACCCTTAAGGTGCGCGATGGATCGATGGGTCTAGCATGGTTTAGCGACGTTGTGGCAATGGATGTAGCCAATCAATGCTGGTTCAGGCACCCAGTTTGGGACACTTGAAAAGTCCAAGTGGGAATCAGACTTTGGAGATGACTTCACTATATCACTGCTCAAAGCCTTGATTTCAAGGATCAACTCCAGGATCAACGCATGGAAACTTTAAGACTCTGGAGATGGAGGAAGCCACATAACTCGCTAGACTGGGCACAGTGAGTGAGGGTGAGAGGGTGAGTGGGGTGTGATGTTTGCCACGCTGCAAGACATGTTGGAATGAATTCTCCTGCAACGCTTTTGAAGTGAATTGCCATTGACTGAATCCAATCACACCATCCCCAGTATATCCTACCACAAGTCCCGGTCACCGGTGGTTCCCGATCCTTTTAGCACTTCAGCGTGCACTCGACCACTTCCCACCAGCTTCCTTGCAGGGAGAATTTGCGAGACAAATGCCACCAGTCTGCCCAGGCCTCCAAAGGCCTCCTGCCCTTTTACCAACCCTGTCAACCCTGCCACGGCACACCTTTTGTGGCAGGCTTCGGAGCAGCGCACAAGCACTGGGGCTCTTCATGAGCGCAACCTCCTCTGCGCTGTTCACCATCCTCACCGCCGTGCTCAGCGGTCGCGGCAGCTTGCGCACTGAGAAGGATGGCTTGCAGGCGAGAGGGGTTTTGTGGATGGTGTGAACGGTGAGACGCCCAGTGTTTAACGCTGGTTGGAGTTGGAAACCATGATGAGGCATATGAGGCCCAAGTCAGTTGCTGTTGTCTTGAAGAACTGTTGGGATATGTTGGGATTCCATTGCTTCATTGAAAGTATATATGACCGCCGATTGTCACATTATCCCGTGAGATGCGCTAGCGCTGAGGCTGGATACTATGTGTCTTTGTCCATGATGATTCCTTTTCTATGCACCGAGTCGGCACGTTGTACCGAGCCGAGCGCCGGACCAAAAGGGGCGGTGGTCCGTGTGACTCTGATGCCTTCTGGAGCAAAGCCTTTGCTCAAGTCATCTAAAATCTCCCTATTCAAGAGCTGTTGACAGTCGAAATTCGGTGGTTTTAGCGTGTTTTGGCAGTGATTCATCAAGAGGGTCTCCATTACCGATCCATGTCAACGGCTGAGTGAAACCTACTAGGTGGGGTAATCCAATGGAATCCATCATTTAGACCATGGACCATAGCATGGCTCAAAGGGTGTGCGTGTGTTATGTACATATATACATATATAATATGTTTATAACTCACAGTCACTCCATGTATGCCATATTTGCCTACATTGGGGTGGTTTTCGGGGTCAATGTAGGTAAATATGGCCTACATGGAGTGTATGGGACTTATAATGTATACACACAAATTAGGTTCCAAAAGAGAAACCCCAAACAGGCTGATCCATCCGGGTCTCTCATCCAACGTTCCCTCACCAGTACCAGCTTGACTGAACGGTCCGAGGCTGGTACTTGTGTGTCCAGTCTGGCTTCCAAGAGCGCCACTTCGATGAAGAGAGCGAGCCTGAGGCAGAGCGGGGCAGAGCACCGCCTCGAACTTTTCCATTGGTCCGGCCTCGTGGATGAGGTCGTGTACAGAAGGAGGTGTCCGAAGTGGTTGCGTTGAAGGAAGCTTTGCCAAACCTAGAAGATCCTTTGGGCAGAAATTCTTGCCTTTTTCGGGAAGAGCGGCTCTTCCCGTCCTGGGGCGGAAATCAGCTGTTTGCCGCGGAAATGTTTTTGTTGCCGCGAATATTCCCTTTCAGGAATCCAGTGAGACAAAGACTACATATTCTAGAGGAGTTGAATATCTTTGTGGTTTACATTGGGCATTTCTGCCTGGAACAGTCACCGCAATGAGAAAAAACAATTTGCAGCGCTTAAGTTGCCACCTCCACCTGTAAATCTGGCTGCCATCACATCATATAGGTGTCTTTGCTTTTGAAGGTTTCTTGTGCGGAATGATCACAAAAGGACTAAAATCAGTCTAAAGTTGAAAACACCTGGCGCGAAAATGCCCGGGAAAAAGGCAGAAATACCCGGGAAAGAGGCGGAAATACCCGGGAAAACGGCGGAAATACCCGGGAAACCGGCGGCAATTTCCTGGTATTAGGCGGGACTCAAGAACAGTGCCTTTGATGCCTTTGAAGGGCTTGAACATATGTCGCAGCCTCTTTGTGAATGTCATGAATTTAGAAGGTGTCAGATCTTGAGATGTGAAGCTATGCAGAACGGTATGTGGTCTGCAATCATGGAAGAGACAACCTGGTAGGTTGTAATGGTTTTTGAGTTGCTATGTTGGATTTTGCTTGAGGCAAAAATTCCCTGCTGCCCGCGGAAATTCCTACCTGGCGCGGATTTCCCCTAAATCCGCGAATCCTCCCGGGCAAACCGGACTGAGGCAGAAATTTCTGCCCCAGGTGCTTCTAGGAATGGCTACTACATATATTTTAGTCTATTTTACTTTGTACTGTTGAATTCTATTATAAGTGGAATTGTGCCGTGATGGATGGTTTATGATGGTTTCCTTTGCTCCAGTGACTCTATATAGCATGCTTTGTTGAAGAGAACCCCGAAAAAAAGGTCTTGTCCGATGACACTTGAGAATCCCGCATCCCGGGCCGCCAGCCACGGCGGCCACGACAGGGAGAAGTCGGACTCTCTTCCAGGTGCCACGACGGTGCCCGATCTCACGGTCATAATGCATGCCTCATGCTGCGTGGCGCCAGGTGCAACCAGGTCAGCTTAACAAGGGCGTGGCCTTCTCGCGCACAGGCGCGGCCGGACCCTCGTGGCTCGATCCACGCGGCGCGTGAAGAGTGGGATGCAGAGGGTCCCGAAGCTCGAACAGGGCAGCTCGAGCAGCTCGAACAGACGTCCGAGGTTTTCTGGAGAGGGAACATCTGAAATGGTACTTTTAAGGATCTTTAAGGACATGTTATGGGATAAATTCTTCTGGTCTAGCACACTGATTTACCTGAGTACGCATTCTAGCAAAAAGAACGTCACACGCCCCGAAATGGTCTCACAATGCAGTACCATCTGTTGCGAGCCAGGTTACCTTCAACAAACACCAGATCTAACCCGCATGAGTGTCCCCTAAAGGCCCGCATTACAAGACTCTTGGACTCAATCCCAGTCTTGGCTTATGCATCATTTACAGGGCCTTGGCGGGGTAACAGTCCTTCTAGAAAAAAATGGTCGTCCATGATTGGATTTTCATGTTCTCCTTCCAGGTGGGGTGGTGGCCTTTTTGCGGGTGGAAAGGAATGCTCCGGGCGCCAGGAATGCTCCGGGACTTCGCCTCCCCACAAAGCGTCGGCGGGAGCCCGGCCAGTTGGGTCGATCACAGCGGCTGGGATGGAGCGTGTTGGACGGACGAAGATCCGATGGATTGCGGTGTGTGGTTCTTTGGGGGAATGATTCGCAAGACGAGAAACACATAGAAACATCATGAAACACGCTTCTGTTGTCTTTGGAAATATGTAGAATAGCTAATTAGACTGCAAGCATCTTCAAAATGTGAAACGTTAAGATCAAAGATGTCCAGCAATGAAACGATAGAGAAGTGTGGAGAAGTTCCTGAAGACGAGAGCGCTTAACTGAGTAAATAGACAGTTACCCGTTCCTTGGACTTCCTGGTGGGTCTCTCTGAGACGAGAGCGCGGTTCTTTGACCCCTAGAGCCTATGTTTCCTCACGTGAAAACCAGGCAGGCAAGTCGGACGGTGGCAACTAGATTATAGATGATTACTTATAATATCACATGTTATCACGTGTGCAAGGTTTTCGAGGCACTATCCACATGGAAGCTTGCTCAAACTGTGTTTATTCACCAACCTGTCAACCATGTCCATTTATGAGTTTGTCCTGCTTTTTCCTGTTGGGTGAGTAAGTGCTCCGTGGAAACGAGCCTGAGGCCCTTTGTCCAGTGAGGTGTGACTTTGGCTGAAGAGGGCTTGTTTAAACAATGTTTTTGTGTCACAGTTGATTAATTCCACTTTGCGATGAATTTGAATTAAAATTGGTCATGTTCTTACTTCGCTTTGTCCATCCGAATTCAATCGGGTTCATCAGGGCCTTGGGTCAGGTTGGGCCCCCTGCCCTTGTGGTTTGGATCGTGCTCAGAGACTGGAATTTGTCCCTGGCAGTCCTCGCCACAGTGCCAAGCCTGTTCCAGCCTGGAGCCCGATTCGGGAACTTATAGCTGCCCAACCCGAGCAACTGTTTCTGTCAGACCATTCTCTTGAAGCTGTGAACCCCGAACTGCCCAGATGAACATCCCAGAACTGAAGCGGAAAGACTTCGTATGACTTCGTGGATTGTACCTCGCACGCCTTCCATCCACGCCTTCCATCCACCGGGTGCGAAATGCATCACCGAGGAGCGCTGTGGGGATGCCGGTCTTCGATGACTTGGATCCAGAAGAGTTTGAAGAGCCTTGCTCTTTCGTCATGGTCTCCGGTTAAAAGTCGAGCAAGAAAAGGAGGCCATGCGCGCGCCTGCCCGCACGCCTGCCCGCGCGCCTGCCCGTGCGCGTGTGCCATGCGTGCCATGCGTGCCATGCATGCCATGCGTTGTGTGCTGATCGATTTCGATCGGCGTGGCCAGGTTAGGCATGGGACAGACGAGTGGGCATCACTGAAAGAGTTTGGGGATTGTTTGATGTTGTGTAGAATTGGACATATGGAAATTCCCAGATGGGTCGAGTATCAATGAAAGTTTGCACTGGTCGCTAGATCGAGTCACAAACATGCAAGTGGAAAACCACCTCTTTGTAGATGAAACATGGTCATCCAAGGGGTCATGATCCACTTCCATGGCGCAGCGGAGTTGAGCAATAGTTCAAGAACAACCACAGCATGTTTTGGTCACCAAGTTTGGAGCCCTGTTTGTTAGCTATGGCAGTTGGCTTGGAATCTGGCTGACTTCATTTTAGCTTCCCGCAAAAAGACTCAGAAGAACTGATCAACGTTTGCCCTGAGCTTAGCACTTGGCCCATGTTCAGGTGTGTGCGATTGGCCCACGCCCGGCATGTGGCCGACTGGCTGAAGTTATCAATGTTCAAAGAGATGATGTGGCTGGAAAGACTGGGTCAAATACATAGACTCTACCTTCTTTTCGACTGAAAAGGGACAGGTATGGTTGGAGAAGATCTCGTAAACATGTATATACATGAACCTGCCTTTCAGATGGGCCGCCGAAGAGGTAAACCAGTATAATCCGGCATGAACGCCGCGCCCGGGCATGTGAAAGGATCCAGAAAATAGTAGTTGTTTGCCAGGCTCACAGGGTCCAGGTTTCCAGCCACAGAGATGAGATCGAGGCGCAGGAAAAGATTTTTCCTGACCTTGCTCAATGGATTTGTCCAAACAGGGTGGACTTCAATGTCTCATTCCAAGTCACAGGACATCCGGCATCGCATTGGGTCCAGAAAGAGCAACTCAACTCAATACATCAATGGATGTGCATGGCCACTGATCAATGGATTTGTCCCTCCACACAAATCCATTCGCTTCGGTTCGGTTCAGAGTCCAACTGTGATTCGCTGGGCGAGAGGGAAAAGAGGCCTGGATTCATTTGGCTTCGAGGGTAGCTATCGTCCAAGGTGTCGAGTCATGATCCAAGTTTGGGAATGCCATGGAATGCCAATATTCACTGCCAAGTAGTGGTGCAGATGTCAGCAAAACCGGGCTCATCCAATCCACCACTGTTCGCCTTTTTGATACATATATACAATGACAATGACCATCAATTACATTCAATGACCCCCCCAAAAGCTTTGTCACTGAGCATTTGGTGTGGTTGCCAACAGGCGGAAGGAATTGCGTGGAGGTGCACGAGGTGCGTAAGCCGTAGGCGACTGCAGTCAGAAAGACAACGATGTTTTCTACCCACCATTACCCAGCTTGGTTTCTCCACATGTCTTTTGGCACAACCAACTTGGAGACGAAACTGGTAAAACCTTCGGAGAAACCGGTTTCTTGAATGTGCACGTGCCATGGGGCTCCGACCTCCCTCCAAGAGGTGATAATAGACAATTGTATAAAATCAAATGCAGGATCCGGACTTCTCAACCAAGTGTCCTCTTTCCGCCCCAGGTAGCACCGTTTTGGTGTGGATTCCTCCCCGACCAGGTCTTCCCGGGGTCAAATCGCAGGACTTAATGGCCATCGATGGTTCCTTTGCCGCGCCCGTCGCGTCGGTGGAAGAGCCCGCCGGAACCCCACGGGGGGTGGCGAGCGGAACCCGCGTGTCGTTCGCTCCAAGAGGTGGTTTTGGAAACCGATCCGGCCGGCCATGGCCGCCATCGCATGCGGCCGGCCCGGAGTTTTCCTGGGAAGTTGCAGCATACAGTATACACTTACCCAAATCTTACAGATACTTCCTGTGACAGTCCACTGGTTTGTAAGGCTTGTCAACATGATGTCAGTGGCCTTCCGGATCCTTCCAGACCCGGCAAATGAGCAGAAGCTGTGGGACCCAGATGTTTCAACCCATACATCATAATCATATCATCTAAGAACTGTGAAATATATTCGCCTCTGGATACATGTGGATGGATTGCTTTTGTAAGAGCAATTGGATCGTGAACGCCGGGCTAATTCGCCGGGCTAGCCGATGTTTGTCTGGCGACATGCGACCATGGGGCCTTGTGCAGAAGCCGAGTTGTGTAGATGTACTCCCCCCAAAACCACTTGGTAGATAGCTACATCCGGGAAGAGACCCACATGGAACCTGATGGCATGGACTTTGGAAGACTAGCTTCCTCTACAAACCGACTTTTTGAGGCGGCGGAGCCAGCTCCCACTGATGTGGAGGCAGAGGAGAAGATGAGTTGCTGAAAGTGTTGAAACATGTTTTAGATATCGGTCCGTGGTTTTGCTGTTTGTGAGGGTGGCTTTGTGAGAGGGTGGGGGGAGATTTGAGACATCGGTCCTAAGGTGCTTTTGACATGATTAACGACCATGGGTTTGTCAGAAGCTAGGGTAGAGACATTGGAAACCGCATATCATGGAACAGTGCTTCAGGAGTAGAAAACACCACCATTCTGACCTTGACTCAACCAAGCGAAAGTGAGAGTTCTTCACCTCCCTGGCTGGTCATTTTGTTCAGCAAGACTTTCACAGACGCTCCATTTTTGATACAGAAAGCTTTCTTCCAGTGAACATGAGAAAGCTTTCTTCACTCGACTCTAAGGCACCTTCTATTCACGGGCGATCGCCCTTACATGCAGCCCCTCACTGCTGTGCTCATGCGATGGACCACAAGAAGCCAAGCGTGTCTTCGCCAGGACACCACATCCATGGGGGAGAAGCTACGGCAGGTGCACGCCCACGTTCACCCAAATGGGTCGGATGTGAGGGCGATGGGTCTCCTCGGAGCACGACGTGCTGTTGTTGGCCGAAGGAATGGGGCCACCCTCCGGTTCAGCATCTATACGTGTTCTATACATTATCATACATACATATTCTTTGACTTGTCAATTTGCTTTGGGTGTTCCAGAAGCACAGAGAAGACTATACATACCTTGTGTGATTGATCCGGTGGTTTCGCCCAACAGCATTAGATGATGAACAATGGATTTGTATGTAAGTGTTTGTGTTATTTGCCCTTGTCCCCAGCGCCCCATGGGGTTGGGAAGCGCATTCTACTAGTACACCGTGGGCACACTCGAGGCGGTGCTGAGTGGTAGCCAAGATGACTTGAAGTGGCTTGGCATGGGCTGAATCAGCTGTGGATCGGTTGGTATTTGGCCTTATTGTTGATGCATCAAGAGCCAGGAAAGCTCATGTCTTGCCATGCTGTTCTTATCCACCGCCTATTGCTTTGTCTTGGTGTTTTGGATTTCGTGGACCGTGCTTTTGATGGACTCCTTGAGCTTTTCACATGTAGAATAGGTGACAACCCTCATGTGTTCTTACTTCGACGGGGACACCTACATGCCGGCGCACATCCTCGGCTTGATGACACCAGGGATGGTATACCTTCTGAGCATGGCCTGTGAGGCTGTGGGTCAAAACCAGGAGACCTACCTGGAAGGTCAAGCTATATGGTGGACCAGGGTTGAGGTTTTCACTCATCCCCAGTTGTTTGTTCCATGCTTCTTTTATAGTGGCTGTGCCACCCTCTCTACGGTTGTTTTGGGGGTACCCTCCCTCCAACAAGCATACAAGTGGTCAAGCCCTCTTTGTAGAGTGTAGAGGAAACTAAGGAAACAGTTGTCCAAGGGACCATGGTGTTTCATTTCCATGTTTGCTAAACAGGGGCTATTTGGCTGAAAGAAGGAAATAAGTCGATCATGTTTCAATCCACCCGCCACCCCCACCGATGGGGGCCCAATCACCGAGCGAAGCGTGGCCGACCGGTCCGAGGCGGCTCTTCGAGCAATGCTCCAAGGCGCCCGCCAAGAAGGCGCCCGGAACGGTTGAAACCACCGAAACCGTCTTCGTGACGGTTTCGTTCGTGGATTCGTGGCGTAGTGAAGTGTGCCGGTCTTGGTCCGGGGAGGTCTTACCGGTGACCAGGAATCACATGAAATGATGGACGATTTGGCCTGTTGGGCTCATGCTTTCACATGTTTTCCAGTCTCAGTCTCAGTTTGCTAGGTACTGTATGTGACGCTTCACCCCGCAAGTCTGGATACTGATTGTGTTGCACACGCATAAATACATGCGCATACCTTTGGCTACATACATACCCTCAGGCTTCAAAATGACATGCTTCAAATGGGGATTCAACCTGGAGCCTCATAGCCACAATAATATACGTAATATAAGACTATAAGGAGTGGGGAAGAGGAACTCAGCTCGAAAGACGAAGCCGAGAAAAAGAACGTTTCTCAGAGCTCACAGATCCTTCTCCCAGTCACCTGATTGGCCGAGCTGTTCACGCTCAGCACCACGCGGTGGATGAGAAGCGCTTGGCGGCCTTTTCCGCCTTCGACGACCTCTTGAGCCCCAGTCACCGGCAGGAGAGCGTGGATCGATGATCAGGGGATCGAAGTTCGGCACCCATCCAAAGCGAAGGTTCGTTGTCGTGGCAAATGGATGCTTTTGGAAAGTAGATGGCACCACGGCCAGTTTTGTGGAGGAGCAATATGGATCATTGAAGTCACGGCCAGTTGAGGCCATTTGCATCCATTTGCCACTTGCATGCATGTTAATTTCAAGGGGGTTCTATTTGGGTGGTCCAGATGCCGAGCACAGAAGACCTTGGCTACCCTGATTTGTTGGGGGTCTCCTTACATCATTGATACAACGTGCTTCGCAAC